CTTTAAAAGAACCTCTTAAGTAGCCTGAGTAAAGTAGAGAGCTATTTAACCAGTCACTTTTCTTTTATAAGTAAACTAGCAGGGATACCTGGCATTGTTCAGAAGATCTCTGAATAAGTTTACTATTGACAATTTATTGATATTTTTCAGCCATTTTATGGAAAATAATTTTTTATTTAATCTTTAAAAAATAAACTTCATTGTTTTTTTGGTTTGTTACAAAATAACTAAATTTACTGCACTATCAAATATCCTGCTGGGGGAGGGATTTTAGGAGGCTGAGTGTCCTCATATTTTTATTCAAAAAGACACTTTTTCAAATTAAATATTAACATAAATATTCTGTTAATCTTGTTTTCAAACAAATCAAATTGATTTATCTAAGTTCATTAACCTTTTTTTCAAATTATTATTAATAAAAAAGTAAAACTTAAATTAAGGCATATTTAAACATTTAATTTGATCATTTTTTTTAACATTAGTCATGTTGAATATGTTTTATGAATTTAACTATATTTTATTTTTGAAAAATAAGGCTCGCTATAATTTTTTGCTTTAATAAAACTTAATTTAAAATTTACTTTTTTATATTAGTTAGAAACCAAAAAAAAAAAAAAAAAATAAAAAAAACAATAAAAAAAAAAAACAATGTTTATTTTTTAAAGATTGAATAAAAAAAATTATTTTCCATAAGATGGCCAAAAAAAAAAAAAAAAAATACTAATAAGTCAATAATACACACATGCACAAACAACTGCCCTTTATATATGTATAGATAGATAATATCCCTACAACATAAACATAAAAACAAAATGCATGTACTTAAAGTAAACATGTAATTAAAAATATTGAAAAAGATGACATACATTTGTGGAATATCTAATTCTATTAAAGCTACTGAAAATTTCCCCCCAAAATATCTACAGGAATTTATTCTGTTGTGTTTGTACAATTTTTGTTTTGAATATTTGATTTTCTTCTTTTAAAGTTACTTTGTTGTTTTAATATTCATTTTTTTTTTAAAGTTACGCTTATAGTTACTATAGATATGGAAATAAGTTCAGGAGAATAGAAATTTAAAAAATACATATAGCGTTTTGAAATTATCAGCAGAATTAAAAAGTAAAAACGAACAGAATAAGAATTATTCCCATTCATCTTTACTTTTTAATTCTGAGAATTTCAAATGCATTCTAATCCAATTATTATGTATTTTTAATTTGAAAATATCTTTGTAAATACAAATCATATGATAATTTTTTTTTTTTTTACTAAAAGGTCGGTTGGGTGATACTGAGTTTGTATATATATTTATTTTGTTGTTAATTATTGCAGTTTTTGTTTTAGCCAGACACACACATAGACAACTGTCCTTTGTATAGATATGGTCAATGTATTATAAATGGTTTGCAACTTGTGCTCTGAACATCCTTGGAATATGCTATAAATTGTTAAAACACATTCACTGAAAATACATTAACTCATTAGGAGAAAAAAAAGTTTTAATTTTAATCCATTTAGTAAGACATAAATAGTAATGAATATTAACAGTTGCACATAGGTGCTAACCAAAAGTGCAGGGAATTTGATGAAAATTTTTCTGTATTCTTAGAGGTTCTAATAGATAAAGCAGTGTCAATTATATGTGTCTGTAGAATAAAATTTAAAAGGCTTGCCTCATGAGATATTTTAATTTTTGTATAATATTTTTGAGATGTTGAATCCAAAAATCACTTATTTTGCTTAGATTTTTCTTTATCAAATTCAGTAAAAAAAAAAAAAAAAAAAAAAAAAATTGTTTTGGTCTTTGAAAGTTACAGAACCTCTACCTGATTACAAGTCATAATGGAAATAAATATTGAATTTAAAAATTTTGTGGCACAACAGAAGATAATTCTATAAAATTTTAACACAGTTACTCTGGTTAAAAAAAAACAAAAAACTTTCATTTGTTTGACTTTTTATGATTAAAAACATTGATAGTCTCTTTTCCAACAATCTACCATCATGTTTTTATCCCAACATCCCTGGTAATGTTGCTCCATTGTTTTGACATCTTGATGAAATCTTTCCCGTTATTCATCACCCAAGTTTTCAGGGAAACTCTTCAAAAGGCTGAACAAAAAAATGCATTTTAATACTCATATTACAACTGAAAGAATGAAAAAGGTTTGAACCAAAATTTGAACTATTTCAACGTAATCATGTTTGATGTTTCCAAGGAATTTGCTAACAATCTTGAATGCTAACTAAACAGAAATAGCAACTTTTAACACAATCTTTAGGTACTCTCCAAATTATCAGGATTCCAAATTCTTGTCCTGGTCTTCTAACTTCAACTTAAAGCATGAAAAATCTCTTCACCATATGGTTGTTTTTTGGCAAATTATGGGAGGTACAGATAAAACAAAATTGATCAGAATCTTTCAAACATTTTCTTTGCACAGTAGCTATATCTGTCATTGATCTATATTATTCTCAAATGAAATTGCAGCAAAAATTCAGAGATTAAAACTATCAACAAAATCAGTCATAATATCTCGGTAATTTGATGAGAACATATGTTTGTTACACAAAAGCTTATTTGAATTGAAATTTGAATACTGAAAAAGCATGAATTAATGTTTTTTGACATTACTAGGCATAGTAAGACAATTCATTAAGCGAACTCAATTATGTGTATTTAATTATCGAAAAGGTTTAAAAATCAAAAAACTCATTTTACACAATATAGATTTCAATAACAAAAATAATAGAGGGAGAAAAATGGATTGCATTTTTGAAATCAGCATCACAAAATTACTTCACACCTGTAATGTTTGGACCCGATATCTTGGTTTCAGTCAATTTCCCCACTGCCATTACGTAGCTTCCCCATTCCTTTTCTATAAATACTATCATGATAATTGTTTTGATGAACTCCCCACCCCCATGGTACCTAGACTTTATGAATTTAAGCACAGTACTAGATTAGCAGCAAGTTCTCATCATCTAACAGTTGAAATAGCTAGATGTAACCATAAGTTCTATGCTAACAGTTTCATTTATCGCACTTCTCGCTTTCCAGTCAACTTTGATCTTCAAAAATTTAAATGCAATGTCGATCATTATCTTGGGTTTTCTTAATTCTTGTCTTTTTGTTTTCTCTCTCTTTAATAGTGTTTTTTTTCTTCATTCTCGAACATTTAGTAACCATTTGTGTCTTGGTGACTTTATTGCCTTGGTTGTGAATGAAACGATGATAAAAAAAAACAAATGAATAAATAACCACACATTTAGCAATTTTATTGTTGACCTGTTATTTTTAATTTTTGATATTTATTTCAATCTTAATTTCCTTTTTATTGTGATACCCAGTATTCATATCAATTTATCAAGTATTTCTTGAGTTTCATCAGATATTTTGTATATCTATGGAAACCATTCAACTAGAAAATAAAGAAATGCCATTTTATATCATTTTTATTTTGACAAAGACATTTCATATTTGAAGCTTACAGAACTTTTGGATTTACTATGTTATAGCCTTTTTAAGAAGAATTTTGCACTTTTTTTTTCTTTTAAATATTTACTAATCTGTCATTAAAATTTTTTTTGATTAGTGCAAAAACGATGAAAGAAGTTGCTAACATTATAGAAGCAATTTGTAATCAAAAAGACAGGTATAGTGTCAGAAGTAACAAAGTTGACACTTAAAATAAAAAAAAAGTTCATTTTTTAAGGACAATTGAATTAGAAGGCTAAGGGAAATAAGGATTCCTTTGTTCTTGTTAATAAGCAGAACCTAAGAGAGGATAGTGAGAGAGAATTCTTTAGGATACAAAATAGATTTTAACTGTTAGTGATGTTTGTAAACTTATAAATCGTCAATCACATTTTTTTTTTTAATAGACAGATTTGTACGATGCAAGAATTTAAGAAATGCAATTTATAAAAGACCAAAGAGCGATCATCTAATTAAAATGTTTTACTTATTTAATTAAATATATATATTTCAATGTCTTTCAAACAGAAAACATGTTAAAATAAAGGAGAGAGTGAAAGAGAAAATGAAATTTGGTATTTTTCTTTTGTTTTTATTAAACTAAATTTGATCATACAGAATTATGATGACAGATTTTGAAGATTCATTTTAGATAATGTTCAGGCAAAAAGTTCAACATTTGAGTGGAGATGTCCAATGTGCAAGCATTTTCTTTTTGCACTTGGCTCTTCAAGATGATCACAAGGCAATGGAAAAAAAGCAGTTGAAACAAAAAGGAGAAATTATGAAAGAAAAGAAAAATTACCAGAAAAGGTGGTGGTGGGGGATTTTATGAATTATGTCTTGAAATTGAATAAATTAATGGATATAGAGAAATATTTTCAGAGACAAAATGTGAGATTTTTTTAAACTGTTATCTTTTCAGTTCTATTTCTTTTTACTGCATTTGAAAAATGATTAATTAAAAATATTTTCTGATTACAGATTTAGTTTTCTTTTCATGAAAACTAACTTTTAATGGAGGGATGATCATTATTTTCTTATTTTTTATCAACTGGAAGGGTCTTTCTTTTTTTTTAATGCCTCATATTGCAAATATATTATATTTAAAACAATGGTCAGCATTTATATAATGAGAATTTAAAAAAAGAAAAAAAAAAAAAAGAAAATGGGTAGAATTGTTTTTCATTTTTTTAAGAAAAATAATAAAAATTAAAAAGGAATTTATTATACCCTAGCAAAAAATTATAGATGTATAAAAAAAAAAAAAAAAAAAAGGTTTATCTCATCATATGTCTGATCATAAAATTCCTCATTTTAGACAGTTTTAAAGTTATTTTTTGCTCTTGGGATAAGAAGTAAAGGCTTTTATATCAGACTTTTATGCCTGAAAATTCTATTATTGCTGTCAAGTCTTTCAAGAGTGATTTGCAAAAATAGAGGATGAAAAAAAACTTTAAAAAAAGACCCTTTATTATTTCAGATTTAGAGAGAAAAATAAAAACAAAATCAGTTCTTAAGATGATTTTTTATGCTTTTTCTTCTTTTTACGCTCACTTTTTTCTGCTGGAGAGCGACTTCGGTCTCGAGATTTTTTACTTTTGTGCTTCTTGCTGCTACTTCTGCTGCTGTGGTGCTTTTTACTCCTGCTTTTCCCACTACGCTCATGATGGTGATGATGGTGCTTGCGTTGCTTCGGAGGGGATGGGGACTCAGACGAGGAATCTGAGGAGTTGGAACTCACACTCGATGATGCTGGTTCCTCCACAAGGGCATATTTTTTCTGAGCAAGAGCCTCGGCTTTTGCAGCTTGCTCCTTCGCCTTTCGAGCTGGATCAAAAGAGCTGCCATCAACATAATCTTTACTGAGACCAAATGCATCCCGAAGACGGGCATTCTTCTCTTGGTTGGCTTCAGCAAGCTGGTGAGTCTCACGTGCTATAGGACGGCCAAATTCATCTTTCTCAACAACACGGTCGCACATGCCTTCCTTTTCAAGCAAGACTTTTCTAAATGCAGCTACTTTCTTTTCGATGACATCATCTGCATAGCCTTGCTCTTCCATTAGCTCCTGCATTTCCATACACTTTAATTCAATCTTTCTCTTGCGTTCATGGTCAAGAATGTCCTTGTTTGGCGTCTTGATCAAGGAGTTCTCCAGTTTGCGGATCTCCTCTTCCGACTTGTAGTCAACTCTGTCTTTGTGTTTGCGAATGAAAGACAGATTGCGAGTGACATATCCATTCGTTCCACTCCCCCTAGGAGTGGCTAAACCGATACCGTTATACATAGCTCTGGGCTTTTATGGTTGGAGGAGTGAAAAAAAAAAAAAATAAAATAAAGAAAAATAAAAGGTGATTCTCCGTAAATCTGTTTATTTTATTTTTTGTTAAATCCACTCTTCAGACAAATTTTGAAGTTATGTAACTAGATGGAAAATATATTTGAATCTAATTTGTAGGAGTTTACTTCTATGAATGTAGTTGCATGTAGGTGGCTGGCTGTGTGCATAAGGGTGAAAGACCTTATAAAAAATATTTAACACTGACAGAACATTACTCTGTTGTGTTTTCTTTGCATTCGTATGGCAATATTATTGTCATAATGTTATGACCAACACCAGAACGTTCACAAAGAACTTCCGCTTTCTTTTTTTAATTTTCACTTTGCTCAGTCAGATGTCAAATTTTTTTTTTTTAATTTGAGGTCTTTTCAATTTTTCTTTTTTTTTTTTTTACATGTCAGTTTAAAAAAAAAAAAAAAAAAAACAACAACAAAGAACTGTTTTGATTTTTTTTTTTTTTTGTTTTTTCTTTTCTAATCCTTTTTCATAAATTTTTCTTTGAACAGGACGTGTCGGTTACCATTACCATCGATAGACGAAGTTAATTATTCATGTCGTACTTATTCAATCCTTTGGGGCTGTAGTAGAAAAATACATTTAAATGAAAGTTACAATGGAATAAAAAGAAAAATAATTTTCAATTAAAAAGAGGAAACTACATTTAATCTTTGTTGTATATAAGAAAAAGAAAAAAAAAAAAATTACAAGTAAATTTTTAAAACACACTTTTAGGGGACTTTCACCGAATGAACCTCCGTATAACAAAAGCTTGATACTTTTTTCTAGCGTAAGAAAGACTGTTCACAAGCAGAATCTATAAGTAATTAATTTCTACATAAACAAAACACTAAAACAGTATTCACTTTCTCTTCGCCTTCAAAAATCAAAATTTCGCTGTCCCGATGACAGTGAGTAATGAAATCCGATCTTTTCTTTAAAAGGAAAATAGTGTTTTTAGAGTCGACATTATTAATAATTCTTGAGTAAAAATGTTTTTAAAAACACCAGGTCATATTTTTTTTTTAAATTAAAAATAAAAAACAAAGAAAGAGAAAATCTAATGATTTAAATTTAAAATAATCTGTATTTCGTTATATATGTCAATAATTGTAAGTACGACTTACAAAATATTATTAAGAATATAGATGTTACTAAAAAAAAAAAAAAATTTTACATTTTTCATCTTTCTAAAAGAGAAAAAAAAAAACTTTTGTTTGTTGTCTTACTTTTTCGTCGGGATGTTCATTAAGCTTGAAACAGCGACGTACTTTTCGATGATGGTAGAGTCAAAAATATAAAAATGACTGTTCCAAGTAAACAAATAACAGTGGTGACAAATTCCAGGACGGACTGAGTATTTTGCAATAACGCGTGAGTTGTGTAAATATTGTTAAACGAAGAAGCACAAGTCGCCACAAGAAAACGTTAACGGACCAAGATGGCGGACAAGTGCGTAGTGAATGATGCAAGGCCGCTTACGCATCACACAAAAATGTAAATAAAAGAATCAATGAGGAGACAACTGCTATAATAGGACGTTAGAATAACCTCCCTTTAATTTCACCCAGAAAATCTCAAGTTCTGTTAATCGCATGACTTCTTTACAATGCCTTCTTGCAATTACAAAATACATACTTAATATAATTTTCCTTGTAAATTATCAACTCCAATAAAAATATTCTAGGTACCGTCAGAGATTTCCGAAAAAAATCGAAAAACATATTTTTAAAATAAATTAAATAAATGCCTTCTTTGAACTTAAATTTCGATTTTATTTGAATAGCCTAACGCTAATCCAAATACAAAAAAATGAATGAGTTCTGAAGCTTTTTAAAACATTGGCACGCTCACTCGTCACATATTGACTCATTATAAACAAAAAATATAAACAACAAATTTTAAAATCTCTTTAGAAATCCAATATTTTTCGTAGGAATATGTTTCGAGTGCATTTAACTGGATTTTGTAAAAGAAATGTTTGTTTGTTTTTTTATTTAAAACTTATTGAAAACAGCGTTTATTTACGCACGGTAGCCTGCTGGGTCAAAGGTATATACACCCCTGACTTAAAAAGCATACGAAAAAATAAAAATATACAGTAAAGAAATATGGAACATCAGCAGTGCAATAATCAATACATTGGTATTTATTTTTAAAAATAAATTATCTTTAACCTTATATAACCAATACTTTGTTTTAAGAATATATTTTATTATATTCGATTGTATGTAACTTAGCAGAATGAATAATTTTATTTTTTTATGCTACATTAGATTTTCTTTTTTAGTTAAATGATGCTTTTGACTTTACATTGCTTTTATTTTTTATTATTTTCTTATCTGATATCACAAAATATCTAACTGCATCCAAACTGTTTTTTTTAATTTTAAATTCTGATTTTACGCGTTATTTAATTATACATCATATTACTCTTCCGATCGGGAAAAATAATCAAAGACAGTAATTCAGAATTATTTCCTTTTTGAACATCCATAGCAAAAATAATCTAACAGTTGCTAAAACGAAAAAATTAAAATTCTTTTAAAAAAGGGTTCACACTTGAAAATAGCATTAAACATTACATTTTCAATTCTTCAAACATGTCATTATTTTATAAAAAAACTTCTGGCGAACAGTAACAAAATGAATTTCAAAATTGCACTGAAAATTACAAATAATTTTAAAAAGAAATATGAAGTGTAATTCTTTTTTGTATAATCTGAAAGAAAATAACGTGTTTTATTGAATTCTGTAAAAAAGTACTGCCAGAAATTTTTGAGTTTTATTGAATTATCCTTGATAAAATTCGGCCTTAAATTTTTGTATGTTTACATTTGATATTGTACATGATTTGTATTTGTACATAAAATGTATTGTATATGTACATAAAATCTTCAGGGATTTTTCTTTATATAATGATAAAAAAGAAGAAAATGGTGAACACCCCAAAAATTAAAATGTACACACAAGATATCGAAAAGACCCGAAAAATATTTCCATAAATCTATCTGATAAAATAACCTATTCAGTACACAGATCATTCATTAATAAATGAATGCAATAATAAACTAACTATAGGAAACAACTTCATTTGAAATGAGAGTTTCCTTTGAGTCGTTGTAACGTTGAATGTGTTGTGGATTTGAATCAACCTACAACAAAGAAAAAGGCGACAAAGCTTTTTAAATATAAAAATATATTTATTTTCGCGTTTTTTTTTTTCAACTAAATTTTTCGTAGCATGTATGAGCGTTCTTACAGCTCTTGTTTGTAGTTGTTTATTAAGATGAAAAGAAATGTGATTTCTTCGCATGTACGTGTGAGAGAAAAGAGGCAGAAGAGAATGAGGAGGTAAGTCTAAGTGTCACGTAGCTTGGTGAGAAAGTCAGGTGAATGAGTAAGGAAATTTCTTTTAAGTAGCGCCGTCGTGAACTGCTGTCGTATGTTGTCATTCTTTCTCCTTACTGGCTTGTCTGGTCTAGAAGCTTTGCTCATATACCCTTCAAAGGGATCATGAAGCATGTTTTTGTTTTTTTTTCTATTGTCGGCGGAAACGGGACTCGTTGGTTGAAAAATGTTAAATATTTATTTTCAAAGTATTAACTTATTAACCGGACGTATGCACGAATCCTCCGACCCAGAAACCATTTTTTGTCATATGGTGATTATCTATCTTGCTGTTTATTTCCGTCTTCACACCATAAATGATTTCTGAAGATTGAAGATGCATTTTCATTATTCCACATAGTTTTTGAGCTCGATTTTTTTTCTTTTTTTATCACAACCTTTCATTCCATCTATTCTTTGATAACAACTAAGTATTTGTTGCATTCATTCCTTTTTCATCTTCTCAGTGAAAAAATTACAGCTGAACAGTGATTTTTACTGGGTTCCTCATACTTTCGGAGTTGTGCCACGTTTAAGTTACACTTAGAAAAACGCCGTTACGGCTGAACAGTTCCACAAAACGGAGTTCTAAATTTTTGCGCTCACAAGAGATCCGTCTCACCTGTAAATTCACTCGTGTGTATGAAAAAAGATTCTTTTTTTGTGTTAATAAATGTTCTGTTACATATCAAAATTTTATATAAAAAATTGTACATTAAATAAATGATTATGTAGTATCGTATACAAATTAGATAGACAAGTATAAATAGAGAACAACAGACAAACCCGGTTGCTATTCAGGACACGGAGAACTGTACTACGACTACTACTACGCAGAGATATATGCAAAACAAAACAGATTGATAAAAAAGTGTACATACAAAAGTAAATAAATATTATAATATACTGCTAGAATTATATACACTCTCTTTTAAGAGGAATAAAAAAAAATGATTAAAAGAAAGCCAGACGGTTAATAAAAAATGTAATTAATTTGATATAAAATATCTGTACAGTAAACTTTCTAAAAATAGAATGACTCGAAAAAGAAGCGCCGAAAATAATTCGGTCAAAGGCGGGCGGTTTCTGTTTTAATTTTCAAATTCAAAAAAGATAGACATCGTTGGAGTTATTAACCAATCAAAAGGGTGACTTTCACTCACGCAAATTTAAACGTTGAGAGCCGACTGGAGCCTATTTTGAGGCTATATAAGAAAACGAGTTAACAGAAATTTCAGAAGGCATAAATATTTCGGCAAGAACGTGTAAATATTTTGGAAGGTACAGAAGGTATATAAATAAAAGAAGGTACAAGAATGTACCAACACGTTATAAAAATCAGAAGGAAAATATATTTTGGCTGTCACCAGTGGATGATCCAGGCTATTTCTTAAGGAAGTATGAAGCAAACAAAAACAGAAAAAGAAGCAAACCAAAGTGAAATCAGTGAAATGAAATGAACTGTGTTCAAGAAAAAGAACAAAATTGTCGTAATGATGCTGGCAAACCAAAGCCTTCTCAGTTTCGACTTGAAATTAAATGCATCTTTTTTGAAAGAATGTGTATTTTGATCCGTTTTTAAAGTGTATTTTTAACCCTTTTAAGATGTATTTTAACCTTTTTAAAAATAAATTGTACTTTCTCTAAAGATTTTTCAATTGTTAAAAGATTTTATATTCTAAACCTTTTTAAAGCAGGAATTTGTAAAATACTTTCTCAAGGTTTCTTCGAGTATTGAAAGTTTGTTGGATAATTTATGTAATGGGTCCACCCTTTTTTTCATACAAGTGGACTCGACCAGTATGTACTTGGACTGCTGCCGTTAAATAACCCGGGTCAGTCAGAGTAAAAGAGCAGAGATTGTGATTGAGTTGGAGGTAGAGTAATAGTGTGAGGTAACCGCTTGTAGAAGTCACAGTTACAAGCACGTAGACTCTAAGGAAGTCCTACTTCTAGACTGGATTTACCAGACTATATATATATTATTATTGCTACTAACCGCGTTTTTTTTTTTTTTTTTTAGCATTGTGCCCCAAGCAAGGCGTGAAGCCACTAGGATGCAGGGGGTTTGGAGCGAGAGCAGATAAAAGTGATAGGAGAAAGGAAGAGGAGAAGGATAGTGGGTAGATCAAGGTAATTGGAGATGTCGATTGACATTACATTTGAGTAGTTGGAGATTATAGCTTTCAGGGAAACAGTAATTGGGGAGGGTGATCCACTGGCGAGAGGTGCGAGGTATGAAGCTATTGGAGTAGAAGAGACGGCTACATTTGAAGGTTTCTACGGTGCAAGGGTGAGAGCGGGATGCCAGCCTCGTAGGGCGCTTGAATTCATGGAGTCTGGGAACCAGAGAGAGCAGCTCATCAGAGCAGTTACCATGGAAGTATTTGTAGAAAAGACAGAGAGTTTCTGGATTTACTAACCGTATTGCCAATTGTATTATTGTGTGAATACATTTATTTGTTATATTTCATTCTTGCGTTTGTCATTCATTGGAGACCGAATTTCATCTCGGAATCCACAACAATTTATATCTTTTTTATGTGCTAATTTTATTTTATGAATTTGTTATCTGGTCTTTAATAAGACGTACAAAAAAAAAATTTTACGCTAGCTTTTTGTAAAACTTGTATTTTATTATATCGTTTTAAATTCAATGTAATAAATGTTTCTTCCTTTCAAATTACGCATCGGAGTTTCAAGTCTTCTTTGTTTACGTATTTTACGCCTTTTTCAAAATCCAAAATAAGAGTAGTGACGTTCTTTATTCTCCGACTCTTCCCAGAAATATCCTCTTATCATTACAAAATTTCTCATGGCTCAACTCGGTTGCAATACGTGATAGTTTCAGAAATATAA